ATGTTTGAACGTGTCATTTACCTTTGTCATCCGTTCGCATCACGTAACACCGAATTTTGTATATGTGAAGATACCCAAACAACCGCGAGCGTTCCATGAGCGTTTGACCTGTGATGAGAACTTACATGACATGCCTGCATGATTTTCATGTTAGGGCCTGTCACTTATGCTCAACATGCAGCCATGTCATACCATACCTGTTTTGCAACATGTCGTGTTAACGAAACATCCGCAAGATTAGCAAGGCCATGAATTGTAAATCATGACATTTATGACGTAAATATCAGAATTTCCAGGTTATGACTACACACATATGCTCCTTATACAGTCATGTTACGCCATACCTATCCTGGTATCGATACCGTTATCAAATTGGCCAGTAGAGCTAAATGTCATAGGAGGCAAGATAGATAGATAGATAGATAGATAGATAGATAGATAGATAGATAGATAGATAGATAGATAGATAGATAGATAGATAGATAGATAGATAGATAGATAGATAGATAGATAGATAGATAGATAGATAGATAGATAGATAGATAGATAGATAGATAGATAGATAGATAGATAGATAGATAGATAGATAGATAGATAGATAGATGAAAATTCTGGACGAGTTGACGTTTGAACCCGCGCACCCTCTGTCCAAGGGTGAGTGCCATGACCATTCAGCTATCCAAGCACGCTAGTGGAGCATGGCATGTATCCTTGTATAGTACAGTGTAGCAATGTGCTGTAAAGTCAAAGTGAGCGTAAGTAGGAGGCATGCTATGGTGAGCAGAAACGAAAGGAGGAGAGTAGAGAGTAATAGCATGGCACAGACACAGAATAGAGAGAAAGAAATTCAGGAACGACAACAGATAGAAGAGAGAACTTCAACGAAAATGTAGAAATGAGTAGAAAGAGATAGAAAAAGGGGGCTAAAATCCTTGTGCCTACGAGAGTCCTGGCCCAAGTGGTCATACACATTATCAACGAATAAGGTCGACAAGAGAACAACCACCTCTGTAACTGAATCGGTACAAGCATCGGCGAGTTGGAACTTGCATGTTCAGTCCTTGCCGGCAGCAAGTTCTCTTTTGGTCTACTTTACTATCTTCCATCCTCTATCTCCTTCGCGACAATTCACTTGAAAGACTGGAAATAACTATTTTTACATCTTCTTTGGCTACATTACCGGCTGCTTTTCATTAAGTTTTGTATCTGGCACGCTCACTGATTTACTGGCGCTCCAAAGTAAAAAAGGACACGAAAGGTGTCGCCAAGCGACGCAAAAGGGTATGCCAACGCACTCCACTAGTTGAGTGACCTTTGTAGTACTTATCCCGTAACCAGGTAAAGCACTCACAGCCCAGAACTTCACACCAATCTCGCTTACGTCCTGAGTGAGCAAGGTTTCTGAGCACGTGCTCCTCGACAGAGTAACGAGAAGCATGGAGGAATGCGAACTGTTCTCGTATAACATGGTATGTTTCAGGCCCTGTCTATCTACGCAAGACAATATACTGCAGATCAAAATGGCGGATCATTGACGTGAACACCGGGGATATCAAAGGTATTTTCGCGTTAGATCTCGCCCAAGCATTAGATCTCGTCCATGTATAGATTTATTTCCGAATTACACTCGTACCTAAGCTTAGGAAAACGCTAACATGCGTACGTTGGCTCTATCTCAAAAGAACGTAAAGCCTCTGTTAAAGTCGACCAACTTAGGCCTGAAGGGCCGCAGTTATCTGACCTCTCTTTTTGAATATAGCGACGCAAGGGCTATAGGAAAAGCTGGTTTGAGTCGGTGGCGCGAACCAAGCGCTCTACATGGTCGACACCACCATTTAGTGTGGTGGGGGTTCCTACGGGGCCATGAAACATGCCGTTCAGAAAGCTCTGGATGTTGCCAAAGAATACTTGAAAAAGTGGGGCTCTACCCATCACCGTTAACGTCGGAACTGCTGCTTTATAGACCGAATTCCAGGGGCACTCAATTCCTCTCAATTAGATCCACACTAACATATATTGTAAATCTGGCCAGGTGACACCTATAGAGTGAATTGTGTAGGATTCAAGCACTACTACTTAACGCAAAAGGGAAGCAACAATTAAACTGTTGTCCGTGATGGCACAGAGAGAAGACATGACCAAGATAATCACAAGAGTCTCGAATTGCGGAGGCGGTTTCAGTGAAAGCAATCTCCTGAGGTTGTATAATTTGTTCCTTATAAACCACGTCAGCTACATTGCATGAGCAAGGTGTCTCAATCGGAAGACGCCAATCGGAAGACGCCAAAATTGATGCTCTGAGAAGAAAAAAAAAAAACATTGTAAGCGTACTCGGTATTTCTGGTAGCTTTATAGAACAGAGACGCTCTTCGAACTAGGGATGCATGACACCCTAATAGAGGTAATCGAGGCACATTCAATGGCGGAAGCTCAATACGTGCCGTCTTTTCAGGCGGACAGAAACATTTTAAAGTCCGCAGGACTGGCCTCTTTGGCCATCGACAGGAATGCCACCCAGCTCTGTGAGTCCCACCGTTAGAAAGACCTTTATGAATATTAGCGCTTTCCCAACGAAGGCGCACTCTCAATAAAATGTGGTTAGACGCGATGCATGAGACCGCTCCCCTATGAACTTTGTGCGCAAACGCATTGATATAACTAATTTATACGTAGATGCTTCGCATATAGGCGCATTGACTCATTTGCAGCTGTTGTCGTTGATCAATATGGGGCAATCGCTGATGCGTTTCCAATAAGGCATTTCAAGTTGGCGATGACCGAAGAAGCTGCCAACGCACTAGCTATGAACGACCCTCGCTGTCTTTCATCTATACACTGACTTGAAATCAGGCATTCGGGCTTTTCTAACTGGTCTAAATTCAAAAGCAGTTGTGGCTATAATCAAGAAAATACCATCTGATGGTTCCCAGCACACAGAGGAATCAATCTTCAGTCTGTCTTGCACTTAGGAGAAATCTCGGGCCGCTTGACGTAGCTATACAGCCAGCGTTGCAGTCACGCGCCGTCGCCAGCTCGCGCATACATATGCTTGAAGAGCGTGCTATATATAGTGCCGCATTGTCAGCGACGGTGGTGTGCGGTGGCCACATTGTTGGGCAGCCCGCTCATTCATCGCCATGGCAGGAACTAGATAAATATATTCTGTACTAAAAGTTGTGCGATGCAAACTGCTCAGCTTTCTCACTCGCGGTAGTGGAGTTCTAGAAACAGAGTTTGTTAGTGTATACGTTGTTTGCTCTTTCAAAACGCCGTGGTATTGAGTGAGTTCACATATATTTTTTTCTCTCAGTGTGAACCACAGTTGCGATGGTGAATATTATAATGAGCACGTACCGCCCGTGGTATTTATTTCACGCAATAAACACACACAAAAATAGAAGCAGCGCTACGGTGATTGCCGTGCTGCTATGCCGGATCAACACAATAAAACAGACGAGAATGAGTTCACGAATGCTGTAGGGTAAAACAACGACCGGAACGTGCTTATTCTAGATAAAATTTTATAACTTGAGGCCACACTCTTTCGCCGGCACCGAAAAGTACGCGCGATGCTTCGAACATACTTACTACCGGTCATGTCCCCGGCGGCATCGACGAAGACGTTCATTTTGGACGGCAGTGACACGATGCGAAATTTCGTCCTCGTTCCAGCAACTACGCTGAAATTCGCCCACCGCCTGACAATGCGACCAGTGCGCGCCGCCGTAGCTGACGACGAAGTTCGACCGTTCAACAGTGACCCCTGCAGGCGCTTGAGGGTCATTGTGTCATAATCACTCACGAGCAGCAGTGCGCGCGTGCTGCTGCCTGTGAGTGATTATCGTGCTGGCTGCATTATGGCCGCATCGCGAGGCGACACGCTACTACATTTCGCCTCCTAAGTGTGAAACAGATTGTGCATCTCAGCAAATTCTACCCGAATGAACTAGTTCATACGAAGCACGAAGACTGACATTCCACGATGGTCCCGATATGCTACACAATCCGGCTTCGGAGCATAACTTTCACCCACTACTCTCTTTTCACGAAATAGTGAAACACTAGCAGCTTGGGCGCGGAAAATTTCTGACTGGACCTCAAAAGCTGACTGGACCTCATAATGCTCGGGATCTTTTCTGTCGAGAGGAAGGTGCTCTGGAAATCGATCCACACTACCTGGGTGCCACAAAAAGTGGCTAGTTAATGCACGTGCTCTGGCATTGCTCAACATTACAAAAAAAAAAAATCTCTTTAGTATACAAGAGGACTGGTAGGAAGCCCTCTGATGTGACGACCTCCATGAACAACTAAGAGGCATCTAAAGGGCCCGCCAACGTGGGTGCACCAGTAACTACGACTGTAGTTCCATGGGACCCGAATAATGTTTGTTGACTGGCTGGTTCTTTATTTTTATACAGAAATGATGACACTAATATCTGGTACATTTTCGCATAAAGATAGAAAGCCGCTTTTCTAGAGCAGCGTGCTAGCATTCACTTTTGCGTAGCTTGGCCACAGCTCGTGTGCTTCTTTCTACTTTTGGAGCACCTGTACGTATCTGTTGTAAGATCGCATGCGATTTATGTCGAACTTCGATGTCACACTGGTGGTCTCCTAATATGACGACATATAGCGAAAGTATTATGGCAGAACTGTGGAAGAAATTTGCCCGAAGTGTTGTTTTCACTGCAGCTGAATGACTTACGCCTTTATAGTGGAGGAGTAGCTATAGTCATTTGCTGCCTCATCAGCTAAAACCTCGTTGCCTGCTGGCTAGAAGGCAGTTGGACGGTTCCCTACCAAGGCATATAAAGAGGAAATTTTTGAATTGGCCTGCAATAACTCATGCTGTGAAAATATATAATAAAATAAAATTGATCTTTTTGCTTCAAGTTTTACTCATGAGCTTTCCATTATTGTACAGGGGTAGTTTACATAGCATTGTTGTGACCAGCTTTCTTCGCGTCGAAGTTTTACGTACTAGGTCACTTTTCTCGCAGGTACTACATTCGGAAAAAACCAGGAAGTCGACGTTGGATTCTTTTTCTCGAAGGTAAATGAAAACTTTGGTGTTTTGAATCTCACGTGACCATTTTTGTATTTTTTTTCATTAAAAAGCCTGCAACAGTGTTCACTATATGCCGTAAGGTGACCAACAATTCCCTTGGTATTATTTATTAGCACGAAGTATTCATTGCTTGTTTCCAGACACTTCAGTAGGATCCAAAAATGCCTAATTTATTTTCTGTTCATTAAATATGGTTGCATCCTAGTATTTTCCAACGACGCTTTACCTGCACACACGCCTCATTCCTTGTATAAGTCCTGTGTAGCGTGCCGCGTCAGGGTGCCTCAAACCGAGCCTTCTAAATGTTCTATAGTGCATTTGCTTTGGTTGCTTTCTTAGGGAAATTACTTCTTTTTAGCTATCGAAAGTTTGTGAAAATCAGGAAAGAATAAGGAGCTTCAGTTGGAGCGCTGCTAGTATACAACGGTAACTGCGTCGCACGCCTTACAATTAAACAGCATCATCCTAACATGCATTTCATATCGCAGGTCGCAGCCATCCCAATTCAATGGAGGTTGAATTCAGAGGCCCGTGTACTTTGTGATGTCAGAGCACGTTACAAGTGGTAGAAATTTCTGGAAGCATCCACAACAGTGCCCTCATAGTCATATTGTGGTTTTGGGATATAAAGGCCCAGATTTACTGTGTTTGCCTTTCAGACACATACCCTGATGCATCGCACAGCTTGCTCACCTATATTTATTGCGGAAGCATTTCTATCGCACCTATAGAAATTTCGTGGATATAAAAAAACAATAGAAGGCTTCAGGTGTATTGATTTGGGAACCTTTTCTCGGTGATGCTTTGGCCAAGCATTTGCCGGCTCTGTAGGGCCTGTACACGTGTTTGCTTCTGCCAATAGCGCATGCTATTTTCAGTCTAATTGGACAGCGTATTTCACTTTTTTGAGGTGCTCCCAGATTGAAATTCAACTGCTGATGGCTTAATATTAATGCACTCGTTCATATGGAAAGCACAAAAAAGGTTCAGTTTAAATTGAGGACGACACAGCGAACGATGGAAAGTTAAATGATAGAGGTAACCTTAAGAGACAAGAACGGAGCAGAGAGAGCCAGGGAATGAACTGGTGTTAACGATATGGCAGTTAAGAGTAACCTACTGGATTACAACAGAGACAAATTAGCGGAGGGGAGACAGAAAGTTAGGTGGGCAGATGCAATTAAGAAGTTTGCGGGTGTAAAGTGGCAGCGGCAATCAGATGACCGGGTTCATTGGTGAATCATATGAGACAGGCCGTTGCCCTGCAGTGGGCGTAGGCAGGCTAGTGATAACGAAGACTTTCGTTTTCACTGTGTTTGTTTTCGTATCTCATGATCTCATTGTGAGGCGCGCCGTAATGGATGGCTATGAAAACTTGAAGCATTGAGAGGTTCTTAAAAGTGCGCATAAATCAAACTACACGGGCCTCTAGCATTTCTGTTCCATTGAAAGGAGGCCACCGCGACTAGTATTGAATCAGCGACAATCAGGTCAGCAGCCGAACGTCGTACTGACTGCACCACTTTAGTAACGGTTGTTTTAAAATTTTCATTATTGTCGGCAGGCTTTAGAGAGTCATGATGGGAGTGTGTACATATTAACAGCCCTCCATTGAAGGGTTACATAAAAAGTAAAAATACAACACATATGGTAGGCCTCTGTCAGGAAAGTGCTACATCGAATTAGCTATGCCAACACTTCTTGGTTATAAGGGGGTCATAGAATAAAAGAGATTTTTCACACACGTTCGAAAATTTGGACTATTTCATGAGCCTGTTTCAATCACGATGAAGTGATTGTGTAAAATCTTGTGAAATTTTGGGCACAGAAACTCTCGCAACTATAATTTTTTTGGTATATTGATGAAATTGAATGCAGGAAACCGCACTAATTACGTCCGCGATCTGACAGTCTTGAAACAGCACTTGAGCAAGTTCACTAGTTTATACTGGGGAGAAAGGGGTTCAGCCTCCACCCTCGGCCTGCCTCGGTGGATCAGTGGTTACGGAGCAATCGAGGGTCGTCACAAAATCAATCTGCTGCCACAACTACGGCAGATGCCAGGAGTTGGCTAGTCTCATTGCTGGCCACTTTCAGATTGCGTTAAAGTGCAGAAAAGTTATTGTATCTGCTGTATGCGTCCTCTGTGAACAACAAAGCATGGTCGAAGTGAATTTAGAGCTTTTGACCACCACACCGTTTTCGAATTATACGACTTCTGAGTTAATTTTGCAATGTTGTGCAATCTCGCTCTTGTTTCACTTTTATCGCAGGAGGATGGCACTGCTATGACGATAAAAGTTGCGCCGGACGGTGGATGCGCACCAGCCAACTCATGTCTTCTCTACAGTGGCCAGACAGTCGTCAAGGTAAGCTTAAGCGTGTATTGTTAGGCTGAAGTACATACACACTTATTTTGTTTTGGGTTTTGCTGTTTCTTCTCATTATCTGGAGCGAAAGCCAACACCCACACCCAGGCTTTAATTAACGAGAAATGCTTGTAAAAAGCTCACTTGGTCTATTTTGCCTCGAGTTGAAAACCATCTTCTTTCCTATCTCGGTTCATCTATCAATCATTGCCTCCCTAAATGTTTTTGTAACCTAACGTGCGTCTTCACTGCATCCAGCATCAAATGCATTGCAGTTTGTGTTCGCTTCATTTGCTGTTGTGCCGCCTGCGAGTTTGGCACACAATTTAACGATGCGATGCTTTTGTAGGTTGACGTCATCATTCGATGTCATTTTTTTCACAACACACTGACGTAATATGACGTCACCTGATTACGTTTGAAAGCTGTGAGATCTTATCACGTAGCTTTTTGCATCGTTCATCTTGAAGTAGACACCGATGAAGACTTTTCTGGCTTGATGAGATGTCTAACCCTTTCACCTCAGTAAACGAAGGGTACTGTGCTGATGTCGTGCTTGATGTGTGCCAAATCCCTGATGTTTGTTTCTTAGTTTTAAAACCATCAATAAAGTTGAGCTATACTCCTGCCTTTGGTAAAAGCTGCTGGTTTGTTACGAATATGTGGGGAACAGTAAAGTAACATAAATTTTCAGGTAATATATATAAAAACTTGAGTAGAAATTATATAAAGCAATATAAACCTTTAGTAACATTTTTTTTTGATTGTCAGCTCTTGCTCATTTTGTTTTCTTTACCCCCTCTAAAATAAATGGTGTTGTCTTTTGATTCAGAAATACGGCATAGCCCAAAGCGTCTTCTTCACAAGAGAAATAAACGAAGGCATTTATATATAAAAAATAAATACATCAACCAACTTTTGTAGCAAATAATGCAGCTGTGAAATCTCAATATTTAGCTTCAATGACGTGTAACACAGAAATATCTTCCCATTGTTTTTGGGTACGGTGTATACGTTCTATTCATGTCAAAATCAAAATTCTGAACTCAAATATGTTGATGTACATACATTATATAAAAAACAAAAAATACAACTGCAAAGTTGTTTTAACTAGCCACAGTATTGCATTACGCTCCCTGGTTCAGCTTTGAATGGCTAACGCCAAAACAAAATATTTGAGGAAAATGTGGCCAATCTTTGGCTTAATCATGGGATGAACTACTACGAAGCGTGCAAAAAAACAAGGAAGAGAGCACTATAGGTTGTCATGGAGAGCTTTATAAGGTTCCCAAATTAATCAGCTGGCAAATTATCAGCTGCCAAAATTCAAGTTTTAACAGCCGCTGTAGTGTGTTTAAATGCTATGTAAGTGGCTTCATTGTGCGTCCGACATGATACCGGTGATATGCGGTAGAACTCTCCGAAGATATTTAGGTAATCCATGACGACCGGTACTCATGATTTCACACCTTCGTCTGGCCTGTCTTGTGAAAATATAAACCATTTCTATAACTTTGGAGGTGCCACGGGCTATTGCTCATTTCTCCTGGAAGGTCAAACATGATAAAATCCTTAGCTTGTATGATGGAGGTTCGTATCACACTGTGGTTGAGAGCCAAAAAAAAAAACCATTATTGCACGCCTACGTTGCCTAGAAATAAGGCCTTACAATTACTCATATAATTTTCTGTAATTATTGATGATATCCTCGCTGATGTACCCGAGAACATCACGAACTTGTCCACGATGAAGTTAAACTAGACGAAAGACGCCACTGCTTTTGGGTGCAAGATTGCTAATTATTTCAAGTTACAGAATATTTGCAGGATAGTTCTAACTTTTAGAAGCTTTTTAAATATGAGTTGCTGAACTTAAAAAAAAAAAAACGTGGAGATACGATGTTGGTTTTTTTTTTCTGAAGCCAGATAATCTTGCTTCCTTTCAGTAAGCCCCGTCGCGGTGGTCTAGTGGCTAAGGTACTCGGCTGCTGACCCGCAGGCCGCGGGATCAAATCCCGGCTGGGGCGGCTGCATTTCCGATGGAGGCAGAAATGTTGTAGGCTTTTGTGCTCAGATTTGGGTGCACCTTAAAGCACCCCAGGTGGTCGCAATTTCCGGAGCCCTCCGCTACGGCATCTCTCATAATCATATGGTGATTTTGGGACGTTAAACTTAACTTATCAATCAGTCCCTTTCAGTAAGCTAGCCACAGATATATGCTGTGTCTGCCTACTTCAAAGATAGAAAAAATATCTATAACGATGCAACATATATACATGACTTACAATGACACTAGGGCTGTTCGACGGGCGGGGTCGTTGGAGTAAACTAACGATGTTGTGTGGTTATATGTGAGCAATTGTATAGCATATTCCCGTTTGCTTTTCTCTCTTGTTTCTTAGTTACAGTACATCTTGTACTTTGGTTTTGTGTGAAAGTCATTTTAACTACTCTTACGTGCCAAAAAAATCTGTGTAGTTTCGCCATGCTACATATGTTTATGATGACGGAGAAGTTGTGCACTGCACCTTAAAGCACCCCAGGTGGTCGCAATTTCCGGAGCCCTCCGCTACGGCATCTCTCATAATCATATGGTGATTTTGGGACGTTAAACTTAACTTATCAATCAGTCCCTTTCAGTAAGCTAGCCACAGATATATGCTGTGTCTGCCTACTTCAAAGATAGAAAAAATATCTATAACGATGCAACATATATACATGACTTACAATGACACTAGGGCTGTTCGACGGGCGGGGTCGTTGGAGTAAACTAACGATGTTGTGTGGTTATATGTGAGCAATTGTATAGCATATTCCCGTTTGCTTTTCTCTCTTGTTTCTTAGTTACAGTACATCTTGTACTTTGGTTTTGTGTGAAAGTCATTTTAACTACTCTTACGTGCCAAAAAAATCTGTGTAGTTTCGCCATGCTACATATGTTTATGATGACGGAGAAGTTGTGCACTGCACCTTAAAGCACCCCAGGTGGTCGCAATTTCCGGAGCCCTCCGCTACGGCATCTCTCATAATCATATGGTGATTTTGGGACGTTAAACTTAACTTATCAATCAGTCCCTTTCAGTAAGCTAGCCACAGATATATGCTGTGTCTGCCTACTTCAAAGATAGAAAAAATATCTATAACGATGCAACATATATACATGACTTACAATGACACTAGGGCTGTTCGACGGGCGGGGTCGTTGGAGTAAACTAACGATGTTGTGTGGTTATATGTGAGCAATTGTATAGCATATTCCCGTTTGCTTTTCTCTCTTGTTTCTTAGTTACAGTACATCTTGTACTTTGGTTTTGTGTGAAAGTCATTTTAACTACTCTTACGTGCCAAAAAAATCTGTGTAGTTTCGCCATGCTACATATGTTTATGATGACGGAGAAGTTGTGCACTGTTCGCAAAAATCATGCCCTCCATGTAAAAAAAATAAACTTTCATTATGCTGTATATTTGCAAAACATATGCCAGTGTTCTATTTATAATGATTTTTTATAGATAAGTTGTATACCAATGCATTGTTGTTTCTTGTGTGCGTACATATGTTGTCTTCTCTCAGATTTTCTAAGGGCAGAGGCCTTCGTTAAGCCTCTGTAACAGCATCTTTTTTGCTTTTTTATTAGCATTTTCTCATCATAAAAGCCTAAATAAAACATTAAAGCAATAAAGTGTAATGTCAATGAAATGCGGAAAATCTAAATATACTTATAAACAACTAACGTGGCAAGTGAAAACCATGCACAACAGCATTTTTGTTTTCCCGAGTGAGGTGGTTTACATACATTGTCGGTTCTACTACTGTAAATACAAAAGTGTAAGTACAAAAACAGTCCAATTTCCTAATTATGTTTCAGTGAGTGGTATACTCTCAGCAAACAGAGAAGAAAACCAGTATTGGTGGAACGCAAACCATGTGTGAGTCAGTTTTATTTAGTTTTTTTTCTATTAGAACTGCTTTTTCGCGTGCCTCTTCGATGTTGCATGAATGGTTAGTAAATTTGGGATTGCCAGAAACATCAGTCGCATTTGGCAGTTGAGAAGAAACCTAAGATCAGGTTTCTTCTCAACTGCCAAAGCAAGAAAAAATATGCAGTTCAACGAAGCATGAAAGCATAGATTGAATTTCTGGGCACGGTTTGAGACTGCAGCCAATATTTGGACAAGTTGCCTCATCTTATTCACGCATTAGACGAAATAACTTAAGTTGCAGACATCTAAAATACAAATCCACTAATCCAAATGTCGGCTACAGGGTCACCACATGTTCATGAATTTCCTCTTCGCTTTTTCATCTTCTAGTGATTGATGAAAACAATAAATTAAAATGCAATATCATGATGCTTGCTGACGTAATCAATTTTCAGCTGCTTTTCACCCTATTTTTTTTCTTTGTCTCTTTTAGCGCACTATTCACCCAACGAAGTGCAGAGTAGCATACCTGATCCTTGCCTTCCTCTTGTTTTCCTCTTTTTCTGTCTAAATCCATAACATTAGGTTGCAGCTCAGCTTCTTTGGTATGTGTTATCCTAGTGTGCATAGCCAGAAAATCTTTGTGATAAATATGTCGAGAAATTGATATAACCCCTAAAGTGTATACATGTAAGCGTAGCATGGTGGAATGAGTGAGACATTGATAGAGCTGATTATGAACGCCTGGAAAAATTGTAAATCAAGTGTATAATCCTTTTATCCTACACCCACAATGCAATCAACAAATGCCGTGGCATTTTCCCTGATGATAAAGCAGGTATTTGGTGGTTCGAATGTAGCCCTGTGCTATAGAAGAGATGGAGGAGGGGAGAAGGAGCTGTGCTGACGACACAAGTTTGACTGCTGCCAGACCATTCAGACTGAAATAAGGGCAAACTACTAAGGCAACTACTGGGTGAATGAGAACGGACCCCAGATGGTCAAAATTGTACGCTAGCCCGCCTTTTAGGTGCTTGTTCTTCATGATCGCATTCTTTAAGAATAAGAAAAAAAAGGCAGAAGTACGTTACTATGTACGTGACAAGGTTAATGTCCCGCATGTAATCGATGCTCTCTGTCAGTGATTTTTAGGGTGGGTGGAATGAAACAATAACAAACTAAGCTGAAACATAGACGAGCACAACTAGCAGACAATCAAAATGACGTCATTGTTCACGGCAGCATTTGCAGTCATATTCAACGTTTCTTAAACTTAGTTCGTTGCACGTAATGCAAGTGGAAACGCAGCCTTCACGCTCACAAAGCAAAGCACACTGACGGTTAGTAATAGTGACGCTCTCTGGTTGCAGAAGTCTCTGAATAATGCCAGTGTCACACTTCCACGTTTCAGTAATAGTGTCTCCAGGAGATTCAGTTATAGGTATCAGCACTCTGCTAAAACTATCAGCGTTTTAGGACTCCCGAACCGGCATTGGTCTCCCTAATATTTATCACATCACATTTGTCTAGTGTCAAGTTGTCTCCTGCTGCTGAAAATTGCGAAGACAACGAGGAACTTTTGTGACGACTAGAGTTTAATGATATTCGGTACTTTTCTGGACACATCCTGCATATACAGGGTTTCCATTAACAGTATAGCTTCTTGCTTAAAAGAATAATGGATGGACACTTTCGGCAGAGGTGGAAAGATAGTGCCATTCTGTAGTTCACTGAGGAATAAATAATTAAGACAATAATTTAGGAAACTTTAGGCTGGTTTTTTACGTAGGAAAGTTCGGCGTCACAAATTATGGTGAGGCTACTTTTAAAAATCGAAAGTATAATGCGTGGTTTCAGGGATCTATCCTTGAATTTCCCGACCGCGGTGCCGGAAAAACTAAAACTACCTGACCGAAAGCACTGGAAGGGCGGTCCCTGTGCTGTGTAACGCGCTAGCTTCCCCTTAGGTATTTCAAATGAGGGCGCATGGCGCGAGAACCTCTATACGCAAGATACGTTGTGTCGTGCTAGCACAGCGCGCCGACCGATGGTGCCTCGCGCATGATCTGCCGTGCTTATCTGGTTCTTCGTTATTTTAAATTCCGAAATGTTCAAGGCTCGACTAACAAGGCGAAAGCCTTTGAAGTGTAATACTTGCGATAGTCGGTGTTCGGTCTCCTGGCATGGTGTTTCCCGTGGCGTATCCCTTCAACACGAGAAGATAAATGAGCTTCATGAGCGCAGGAACGAGGAGGGCCTCTGAGTACGCTGAACACCTTAGAGGAACTGCGAGAGGCGCACTTGACAAACCAATATAATAGGCTGGGTTGCCTCCTCCTTGCCCGACTACGCATCATTCGATACGCACGGAAGAGTGCATAAGGATTCCGGAAGTGCGCAAATACTTCCCTGCATGTGTGCCCTTTTCCGGCTAACATGACCCGAGACGAAAACAGTGGCTGATGCCTCACGCAGGTGTGACCGTAGTGGCCTTGGCTGGCAACATCGGTCACATATTCGGAGTATCCTACGCCGACGCCTCCAGCCCACACCACGGGGGTTGGTACACGGTGTCAGTAGTTAACCATAATACCATAGTAAATGGGCTCACCTTCCATGCACGCGGAAGAGATCACCGTCGCGCTAGCCACCGCAGATGTGGACTCTAGGGTCAGTATGGCCTACTCAAAGGGTGCCGAGCGCAATATCGAACAGGGCTGGATTCCGTACTTAGCACGCAAAATTTTGCAAAACAGCGAGTACATAGGTGCCCCACGCACCGAAGGGTCATTCGAAGTCAATCTCATACGGGCTTCAATGGTAATGAGTTGGCCAATGATGCTGCCTGCGCGCTCACACTCCGGTCACCATCCTCCTCCCCTTACGATTCGGACCTTGAAGCAAATCCTGAATACACATTTAGGGAGGTCACTCAGTTTTATCAATTCGGCCATCACATCTACCCTAAACCCGGTAAGGGCATCAGAAAGGCGGGGGAATGAGCCCTCGTTCGTCTTTACACGAAAACTCTATGTGCTCGGCAATCCTGGACCACTCCAACTCCGCTTGCGGGGGCAAGTTCCCCCCCTCAGAGCAAAATTTCTATGACATTCTGCACATTGCTTGGGTGTCTCAAAAAAAATCCTACCTGAAATTTCTACCCAACGCTTTCCGGGAAGACTGGGAGGCAGCCCTGCTCGGTTTCTTTTACCTGACAGCCCGACAGGCCTTGGTCTCCAATGGGCTCCCGTGAAGATTTGCTCACCTAGTATTTGTACAAGGCGGCTCCATAAGGTCGGCTTTCCTACCTCACTGCACATATCTTACAAAAATAAATGTTTTTCATCATCATCATCTGCACAATTCACGAGCTGTGAAAATATGAATGCACACAAAACTGAGGCAGATTAGTGTCGCGCCTCACTGCGATCACGTAAAGGGGAGTCCGCACGTGACGCAGCACAGGAGCCACTCTTACGGCACACTGGGCGCGTAAGTTTCGGTGTCTCCAGCACCACGGTCAAAAAGTTCGACGGTGGATCACTGAAAACAACTGTGATACCTTTAACTTTTAGAGACCAAGTTCGCAATGATTTGCGACGTAGAAGACAACCACCTAAAAATTGATAATAAAAAGAGTAATTAAATATTTTTGTTAATTCATCAATTTTAATGGCCTAGTTAGTGGCAAAAGCTTCCTGCCTTGACCTAGAAGTTTGCATGCGAAGATGTGAAGTGCGTACCTAATATAGTTTTTAAGGAATGGGCTGTATTGCTTAAAAAAATCACCTTGTATATTTCTGACCTGTGTCAGAAAGTGTATTCAAACAAATGCTTTTGATTTTGATAGGTTGGTGCCTTATTGTTCGAGCGACGCGTGGAGCGGAGCGACGAAGGGAAAAACTGAAAGTGAGTTTGGTCCTGTAGTGCTCAGTTTGAATCCAACATACATTTACATGTATACGTTTTAGTGCATGTGTATTTTCAAGATTTATTTATTCTCTTTTCATATCTTCTATTCAATACCCATCTAGAGACTCCTGTACATGCTAGCAAAGCAGTTCTTGTACCAGGTTAACTTCCCTGTCTCTTCTTTTTATCATTGTTCTCTCTCTCTCTCTAGTGTTTAGAAACTCTAAAAAACACTGCAAATGTCTTTCTTTTGCTCTTCTAAAACATACCATGAGGACGTGACTTTTAATTTTTGATTCACTAAGCGCAATGCTAAGAGTTAATGGACAATGCGTGAACACCACTAGTTTCTTGCTTGCATGCACACAATGAGCGAAGATCATATCCTAATTTTACATTTTCCAAAATCCGGGTCACAAAATTAGAGCGGATGTAATGTCTCGTAATTGTGCTATACCATGCTTCAATTTTTTTAGCCCAAGATGGTTAATTCGTATTTTTATAAGAGGTTACATTAATTAAATTCGAATGATGGAAACATTCTTCATAATATCTGCACAAAGCAAAAGCTGAACGTCGCCTTGAGCGCACCGCCCGTATTACAAATGCGTACCTTAATCAGTTCGCTAATAAGCTTACCAAAGGTGTACACTTAGATTGTTTTTCGTCACATTTACCAGAGATTGTTTTGGCAGTAATTTAATATGAGATGATGATAGCATGTTTACTATTAGTCATATGAGTCTTCCCACAATGTAGGATAAGATATAACGCTTGCGTTACCTCATTGCAAATATCGACGTAATTTCTCGTGGATGCGTTTGGAGAATAAGTGCGTATCAATGATTTAGCGAGTACAAACCCTATGATATGCTACTATAACGATGTTAGCCCGTCGATCAAGCAGCATGTATATTATTCACCACAAGTTATGCCGTATCTCTAGACGTGATTAGCGGACGCCATTCTCAAGTTGTAGCAGAAGATATACACTTATTTGCTTAGCTGGTCCTTAGTGAAAAAAAAAAAGGAGTTTTAATCTTTTTGTGAGTCTCGAATTGACACGCATAAGATATATGTCTTTTAAAACATATGTTAACACACCTGTGTAGATAATTATACCCTTTTGGGAAGAGTCGTGAGTGGAGTGACTCCCAAGGACAGCTCGTTTGGTGAGTCAGGACCTCCAAGAACAACACATAAGTTTCTTTCTTTCTTGGTGTGTTAGCATTTTAACAGTATCCTCAAAGGGGTACCCGGAGATTATTGTATAATTCACAGTGACGTCTAAGCAACTGCACATCGCATGCACTCTGCTACACATTGCTACCGTGCCTTTGGTAACATTCCTATGATGTGATTATTCTGTGTTGTGATATTCAACTAGCCTAGGGCATTCTACTATGATAATTTTCTTAAATCAGAAAATAAACATGTAATCTTCAACTGCATAAGTTCTGTTTACTGAACACGTTTCCTGCATCTATGCTGAACATTATAGCCACATGGTATAATGATTTTCGAACATTCCAGAAGCCCCTCAATTATCATTTGTGACGACACAGCTTTCGTGGTAATGATTGCTCTGCAGTTAAAAAAAGTATCACTTGAGAACAAGCTGACAGCCTTATTTGTCAGACATTGCCTTATTTGTCGGACGTTGCATTCATAGGACTGTTGCTTCTAGGTGACGAGAAATCATGCGATAAAATCAACGTACGAGCAAAGTAGGGGTAACATTGGCTTTTTATTTCACATAATTAGTTTCCTCACAGCTGTTGTGGCAAAATGAACACAATAATGAAAATAAGTGAAATTTGCATGAGATGTCCCATATAATGTTGCATGAGAGGTTCTGCAAAACTCTACAGCCTCGAACAAACTTTTATTATCAGCGCTGTAGTAGTATATTAAATCGGAGTTGTCAAAAGTCGTGAATTTAGCCATTCTGGATATTATTTACTTAATTATTAGCTGTGTACCAGTGCTTACAGTTACATAAAAAGTAATATGCATTGTGGTTCACCGAATTTAGGCATGCTGAAACTCATCCATATACTTTTTAGTCCTAAGTTCGAAAAAGTGTTCCTATAGGCATAAATTAAGTGCAGTTTTCACAGGCAGTCATTAATCACTTTGACCTTTTCTGATAGTTCTGAAAAGTACCACATATTAGAGTTTTGCACAGTTATTTGATCTGACGCCTGGTTATGAAAAAAAAAAGCAGGTACATCTTGTGTACATTGTCTATGTCGGAGATCTTTAGAAAGACAACCACATAGAAAAGCATACCAAGAGAAGTAAACAAAAAAGTGCGCCTCGAAAGTTGCTCGTGCGCTGATATAACGATGATTTCTTTTGTCCTGCTTGAATATTTAAGCTCAGGATATCTATGAGAAACGCACGTCCTTTTCTTACAATGGTTTTCCTACAGCTGGGTAACGCAGCATAAGAAATATGTTCACACTTGCCACCAGCTTATTGACTTCTCTGCTTTTTTTGCATAGGGTTGGGAATGCTTCAACTAAGGTGATTCGGCCTATGTTTTTCAAGGTAGGATAAGAATTCTGTTTTGAATCCTTTTGCAGCTGCTGAACTAGACGCAGTTCTGTTTCCCTGTGGTTCTTATGCATACTATAGGTCGCTAAAGCAAGCATATGTTATTGCTGCGATAAAGTACACGCTTGGCTAACAAAATTGTTTTGTGATGTAATGATTGTGCCACAGCTGATATAACTACCATTTGCTCATTCTTAAAAAATCCGGTGTTTGCCCAAGTAATATGCCACTACACACCCTACATTGCTATTACGTTGGTTCTGTAAGTAAGCCTGCCTGTACTGCAAGCCCAAAGTATGGTGCGGTGGTCAGTGCTATAGCAATTGGAGAGCTTCAGACGAGCAGTGCCTTTCACTGAAACATCCTCTATATTTTACGTTTTTCGCTCGTATCCCACGCTTCATGACAATCTACTAAGAATGACGTGTGTCAATCTAATTCTCTTATATTTTGACACCCTTTGTTCTTCTCGATGCTTAAAACAATATTCCCGGTGTGCCGAGATCGTTCTTAACTTATTTAGGCTTGACATACAACCTGGCAGAAATTTTAATGCAAAAAGAATGTAACAATGCGGAAGCTCAGCTACTGTGAGTACTCGTCTGATTCTTTGTTGTTTGAAAGGCAAAAACAATTCACTTGAAGTTCAAAACTTTTTCGCGTTACATTGTCCCAAATAAACATTGGGGTCCTTCTTACTCGTCTTTTTCTGTCCCAAAGTGCGTGTGCCTTGTACACTTTCGTCTCAGATGCTATTCATGTATTCAACTCTTACACAAATGACAATAATTGCATTAGTAACATTAACCACTCGAGCTGCACCACATTATTTCATAGCATGATACAAATTGGTCTAACTTTTATTAATAGATCTATACCAGTGGATGTTTTCAGAAGCTTCTAGTTGTATTTCTGTGTTCCCTTGCGCACTCAACTAACCTATGCATGACTTCTTTTGCTTTTTTGTTATCTTTTTGATGCTCATCGTCTTAGTCCCGTTGTTATTTATTACAGCTGGCTATGCTTTCATGGGATCCCTGATACTACAGTCCGTCATCCATGATTTGCTTGACCAAGGACTTTATGAGGGCAAGCTGCTGCTACTTGCCGGAAGCAGGTATGGCGCAACGTGGACACGAAATGGCGGCGATATTAAATTTTCACGACAATCTAAGCTTCGCTGTGCTTGTGGCATTAAACGAGCGCTTATGTTGGTCTCATCTTGTGTGTCGTTCTCCATTGTCACCCATTCTCAATGCTTCAGATGACCACAGCCGAAACGCCGAGCTTTGAGCGTTCCGGACACTGCCACTCACAACTAGCTAATTCTAAACAGACATATTTAGCCGCAGCTTCTGCAATTTCATTGAAGTTGTCGCTGATTTTTGAATTGTACATTGTCAGCACTGCTCGGGGTCCCTATGTTAGCGATAGCCATGCATTTACCTTAGGCTGCTCTCTTGACGTAGTCACAATTAAGCACTCGTGATGACGAGGTGCTGTTTTTGAGTATTACGAATTTTCTAGATGTATTGGCTGTATGCGGCCCCAAAGATCTTATGGCGGCACCTTGCAGTGATTGTTGCAGTGGTCAGAAGGTTGCTTTTTGTCATTATAGCGGGTGGCACAAATATAATGGTAACAAAGCTTTCATTGGTAGTGCGTTTACTTCGCAAAGTCGCCAATATTCTCTTGTTGAAGTATTTGCGCAGGCACAGCGAAGGTGAAAAATATGAGAATCACAAACGGGTGCAATTTAGCAACTGATTTGTCAAAAAATAGGCCAAGTTGCAGTTTTGCTCCAATAACTTTTTTTTTTGATGGTGCAATAAGTAAGAGATAAGAACTATAAGAGGTATGCATAATCCTGCACGCGGCTAACACGTGCTGTGTTTGTCTGTCAAGTAAGCAGGGGCGTCATCGTAAACAGTGCCGCAATTGGCTGCATCAAAAGCCTAAAATGACGAGGTGCCTCGAGCTGTCTTCAGTGTCTGCTCAATTAATAAACGTGTCCTGAACTTACGGTTGTTTAATCATTCTCGTCCTAGCACGCGCGCTGGACTTTTTATTGCCTGGCTAACGTCAATCACGCTTTCGAAGTTCTTTGTGTTGCTAATGTAGGAAAAAAAACAGCGTTTGTATGCTCTGTGCATTATTGCATAAACTAAATTTATGATTTCATTTTCGCTCTCCAGTGCAGGGGGTGCGGGTGTTTTGTTGAATGTGGACAGGATCGCCGATTTGCTGGCCTCTCTTCGCTCAAAAGTCAAAGTGCGTGGCCTGGTGGATTCGGGTTGGTTCCTTGATAACGAGCCCTTCGAAGCAAGGGAATGCCTGGAACCTTACTCATGCGCACCGGTGGAAACTATCAAGCGTGGCATCCGGTGAGGGGTCATGTACAGTGGCGTTTTTTTTTCTTTACTCACTGTGTCTTAAATCAGTATGCCTGTATTTCTCAGCTATGAGGTTTATAAATGACGAACGCAAGTGAATATGCATAGTATTCAGGTTGTGCACATCTAGTATGCTGCTCACGAATAAAATTGTATTGCTTCGACGTCTTGTACAATTTGATGATCAAAATAAGTATAGCTACTTTTAATTTTGAACTGTCCACAGCTGGGAACTTCAATTCTTGCTTTTGCCAAAACAATTTGTAAAGCAGTCAGCTTACTTGTATGCTCCGCAGTGTGGCCATGATTGGCTTCACTGATGGTAGCCATGATGCGATGTTTGTTCCCTGTTGCTAAGATAATACTTCGGTGTACTTGGATAGTATGGCGGCGTGCCTTGGAACAATCTCTGTAATAGAACACAAAGATACGTGGCTATGCGTCAGTCAAATTGTTTCAAGAAATGCCTTGGAGTGTTCTAATAAAGCTTGCTTACGACTACATCTTCCTGCTGCGGAATGTACAGCATGGTCCGATGTTAGAGAGAACACGTGATTGCGTGCCAGGCGGTCCCCGGAGCACTAACTGCAGGCGATATATTGAAATGTGGTCTATGAGCATTAGTGTATCAAGGTAGTGTGTGTCCACATCATCTGCTACTTCTCCCGCCGTGCTCACCGTGCATGTTAGCAAGCCATGAAACATTGCCCTTTTTATTTTCACTCTGTAAATCAGTCGATAACAAGTCGGCCCTTCTGCTTCTTCTTAACCGAAAAGTTGTGGTTGCAAAGGCGGCTAGATTATTAAGTGAATCAAACTTCAATAGTTTTATCTATTATCAAAAGCGACCCCTTCTTCTTCTTTGTGGGGTTTAACATACCAAAACCACCAATATGATTATGAGAGAAGCCGTAGTGGAGGACTCCAGAAATTTCGACTACCTGGGGTTCTTTATCGTGACCCAAATCTGAGCACACGGGCCTGCAACATTGCCGCCTCCATCAGAAATGAAGCCGCCGCAGCCAGGATTCGACCCCGAGCCGAGTACCTTAGCCACTAAACCACCGGGCCGCGGCGAAAAGCGGCCACTTGAAGCGAGCAGTATGTAAAAAATATGGAGGACGTAATGATGAAGCGTGTGAAAAAGTGCAGCATTACATTATAAAAACATACATTTTAAGGGCGAAGCTCCTCAAGCTATGTGTTTGTTCCTCCTAGCTCGCACGTGACCGCCTAGCTCGATTACCCACTTCACAGGTGCGGATGGACGGACAGACAGACGGACAGACACACAGACGGACGGATGGACAGACAGACGGATGGACGGACTGACAGAGGACGCACAGCCGGACGGCCGGACAGACAGACAGACAGGCAGGCAGACGTACGGATGGACGGATGGACAGACAGGCAGGGAAACAAACAGATGGATGGACGAATGAACGAACAGACAAGCAGACAGACAGACAGATGGACGATGGATGGACGGACAGACAGACAGACGGACGTACACACGGACGAATAGATAGACAGACAGACAGATGAACGTACAGATAGACGGACGGATGAATGGACAGACAGATAGACAGACAGACAGACAGACAGACAGATGGACAGACGGACGGAAGTATGGACAAATTATTCGCAGTTTACCGATAAAACCCTCCAAAGCTTCACCCCACCCATCATTCTTCACGCTGTGGATATAGTGTGATTTTTCGTACCTGCTGGAACTCTAACGAGCAAAATGCAAAGCAAGAGCTAGATAAATTGTGCCGCAAAAACACAAAAGTGCTTTTGAACACTTTCGTACTCACAGGCAGAGAAGCATGGCACATGATACTAGACGCGCCGCGCCCTTACATTCACTACACATGCACCACATTTAGTTATAGCACCGCCAGTGAGAACCGTGTGGCCCGCCAGCCACGAGCTTGCATGTTCCATCAGGAAGTGAACCTTACAATACATACGCAAATTTTAAACAATTTATGCGTGTTTTTGTTCTGCTCTATGTCATCCTATGTCGACCCTAGACCCCACTGTGCCCTCTCTCAGTGGTTCAGCTTAGGACATTGCCCCATATAACTCAGTCGCAGCCCATGCAGGATTGCTCTCGGAGGAAAAGGAATTTTCATTTGGCGAAAACATCGCACTGCAGGAATTGGGAATGCAGGGACCCTGCACAGTAGGCTTGCTGCTGCAGAAATCTAAAAACAGATGACATTCCACGTAATAACGTCAAAAGTGCTGATGATGTAGTGCTGTTTAAGTTACGGAATTCATAAGCTATTTTGCTAAGTTGTTCTGTTAAAAAAGAACTAGGCCACCTCGTATTATAGTTTGGCAGGGAGTTTTCCTTCACATGCGTATTTTTGCCCTTTTTTTCGCTCCACGCAGTGTTAAGCGTTTCAATGTACCGGCTACTTAACGGGTGCACGATGCTGTTCAAAAAATGTTTATGATGGAGCATTTTAAATCCAAAGTATCTGTTTCCATACTGTAAGCGCATTGTGTGTCTATCTGCATATCTATCTATCTATTTGTCTATCTATCGAGCCACCTACATCTTGGTGCTCTCATGATCGAGTACACGAAAATTGTATTGGAGTGTTAGATGCTCCCATAAATGTGACGCGGTGGTCATGACATGAATAATGTCAGAACCTCATCGCGTACGTTGCCGAAGACATTCCGAGAACAGTGGCACATACCCGAGGGCAGTTATGTGCTGCGTGTATGCGAATATGTGCCACAGGTGAAGGACATTTCATATCTACCCAGAAAAGATGAGAACACACATGGGTAACTTTAATGCTAGAGCGTTAAGAAAAAGCTCCCGCAGGCAGCTTTGACTGGTCAAATGCAAACAATGAATGTCAGTGTCCCAGCAGGAATCAAACCCAAGCATTATGCATGGCAATGAAGTGTTCCACCATAGGGCCATGTCAGGGCTCGGATATACTTTTCAAGTAGACCATAACGTCCGTGTAACATCATTGTGGTTGCAGTACTGGTTATATAGTTTTTTCGGAATATCACATATGTACTACCTTAACACAGCCATCATGTCGGGTCATTGTCAATAGTAGTTCAGCATCATCCGCTGAAGTTGATTTGAGTAGCAGTTTATGTAGTATAGCTGATATAAAGTGCCAACACCAGCACTTTATATCAGCTAACCGCTTCTGCTAGCTGTTGCTAATATCGACATTTTTGTTGGCATCATAATGCAACTATAGACCACTGCTAATATAAAACATATGCGGGTGTTTAACGTAAGTGTTTGAGTGCACTAGTGCATATATTTAGCACCACTTCATAACGTCTTTCTCAATAAAAAAAAACACAGCATATTTACGGAGTGAATGATGATGGGTGGACCGCAACAGTCATCTCTCTGTCTGTCTGTCTCCCTGCGGATATGCTGAGCTGGCTATGCTGCCAGAATGACGCGGGATCGCCGTAGACTATAACGAGCTTCGCGCCTAAATTAAAGACATTATCGACAATTACTAGCAATTAGATAAGTAATTACACTTCCATCAGTATGCTTTGCATTACATTAATTTCAAAGGTATGTGGGATCTGCTGAGTTTTTTTTCTAGAATATGATAGAGAAACACTGTTTCTGTTTTTAAACTCTCTCCAAGTTATAAATGAGGAAGTGTGTTGTCCGCCTGAATTGGCTGTATTTATACGAAGGCATCGTGGAGCTGCTGACACCCTTTGTAGAGTTGTTTGCGCCTCGTAGCGCACATGCCTCGCGCAGAAGACCTACTTCGGGGTCACAACTGTTGAGTGGTAGGTGGCGTTGTGTTCGCGAGTGTTGATCGCCACTATCATCATCATGGTTAGATTCGTAGTGCTGGTGTTGACCCCTGGCGGCAAGGCTTCATGGGGCGCGAGAGAATTCAGCGAGCTTCTAAGGTATATGCAAACTGGTAGCGTAACTTCCATTGAAGCCCATAGATCCAGTAGTGGCGGCTCGTTGCCACTGTCGCCATCTACCTAAGGAGGGGTCAACAAGCCGCTCAAAATAGGAAATAAAATATGATGTCACAATTGGAAGTAATAGCGACATCGCCCATATGCCATACATGGCAAAAATTGAATTTTTTCTTATTGCTGACCTGCTACATGGCTTTATTATTACGTGATATTATAGCAGCTTAATTGTGTCTCGCTAATTGCATGCGAGCGAGAAAGAAAAAATAACAAAAATTGAGGAAGCAAAGTTGTTTTAATAGCCAAATGACGTACTTTCAGTATGCACAAGAAACTTCGCAGCGGCAATTGTGAGACAACTCTTCATGAACACCATAGCATTAAATTTCGAAAACTCACGTTGCCCAAGTGTTGAAAAGTACTGCAGCGAGACAACATCTTTGAAAATATAGGTTTGGCAGCCGTAGAGTGTAGAGTCTCGTTGCTTAGCCTGACCAGCTTCGCACTGATCCACTCCTTCGTCCGGGCACTAATAAAATAGAGGAGGTGCTGGCCTGATGTGTTCACACTCACTAAAGGCGAGGGCATGCCGGTCGTGCGCCAGCGTAAGCAGTCGGCAGTCACATTAGGGACTATTTACAGAGTCTGTGAGCTATTTGAACTATGAAAGGCATGTAAAATATAAGTAAACTTCTGAAGGTACGCATGAAACCACCACGGAAAACTGAGCGGTGACTCCTTGACCTAGTAATGCGCCGAACTAGAGAACACGTCAAACTAAACACAAGCTCGGATAGAATATTGCCTGGATACGCCCCCAAATTCGTTGGCCCATGTTACCAGACTGCCTGCATGTGCCCCCTGTTTCTGAAACAAAAAAAGGCGTTCAACTCCATATCAAAGACCAAAGCTCTATTAAAATAAACAACTAAATTTGCGGCAAATGAAATTGAAACTTATTGAAAAGTAACCGTCAATTAATTTTTTGTTCTCACTATTTGCTTCCCCCCCCCCCCTTAACCTAGACGTGCTTCAATCGTCATGCGGTTGTTGATCTCTGTCGTGATTTGTTTCAAACCATTTTTCGTTTCGACTTTGGCGACCTATTTAGATTAACCTTGGAGCTTCTTCGACGGGTGGCGGTTACCGCGAGCGCCTGCTTCTAACGTGGGTCCCCGGTGCGCCACACCGTGGGTTGCCCACTAGGGGCCCTCGTGGTAAGTCAAGCATTGATGACGATGCCTTAGGTGTGTTATTGTGTTTGTCATGTTGTTGTATGTTGCGTAATTTTATGTAATTATGTGTTAGCATGTTGATCACGATTGACGTTGTAATAATTCGACTGGCAATATCGTCAATAAAAAAATAGTTGAATAAATGCGCTTTGGTTTGGTTCATTTCGCCCGCGTCTGCTGTGTGCGTTCACTCCAAGAGCGTGGTGGCGCTCCCCACATCGAGACCCCACAACATGTAGAAAAATACAAGTCACAACTTCATTGCAGTGATTATGTAAACATACTTTTTATATACTATAGTAGGGTACAACTTAAGAAAGCAGGAGAGGCCCCACCCAGACGACAGAAGCGCTGCAGCCAATTCGCTCTGCGACTAAAGAAATAGTCCCGCTCGAAAATTGCGACTGCTTCTAAAACGCGTATTTGTAGGTATAAATAGGATTTGTGCATCGTGACGAGTGCTCTAGTAAAACTATAATGACGGAAATGGTACAGCACATGGCGGATAGCAAGAGAAAAAAATGACAGCATATCCACGGAGTGAATGATGGATAGTGGGGCGAAGCATCCGTCCGTCCATTCGTTCTTGCTTTTGTCCATCTATGTGTGTGTCTGTGTGGCCGCCCGTGCGTCAATCTGCCCGTCCGTGTGTGCGTCTGTTCGTGCGTCTGCACATTCATCTGTGCGTTCATCTCTGCTTTCATCCATTTGTCCATGCAGCCATCCATGCGTCCGTCTATGCATCTGTCTGTGTGTTCGTTCATCCACCTATTCAACACTCCAAGTACCATCATCTCGCATCTTTTCATCATATGTTCCTCATTTAGAAGCACCGCCATCTAGCGGACATTCCAAGGACTGAACGAGAGGAGGCACAAGCACACTTTCTTACGGCTTGCGCTTCGTGTCTACTTCCCACCTTTAACAACCTCGAGTTTATGATATATACTAGTTCACACTATTCATGGCACTGCGACCCAACGCTCGGTTAATCTTTCTAAAACCTAGGGGGTTACGCCCAGCGAGTATAACGTAGCAACCCTTTCTTGTCTTCTGTGCGATGTTGAACAATAAAAAATTCACAGCGTGCGTGTTAACTAAGAGCCAAATTCTCCTGTCTCTCATTCCCTCTTAGCATCCAATGGCATGTAGATTGAGCACTATCTTTTATTGTTCAACAACGCACAGGAGAAATATTCCACCGGCACCACCTTGGAGGTGAAAATGTAATACTGGTTATACACTACGGCTACTACTATGGCTAAGAGGGACGATTAAGTGCCGCTATAAGTAGCTTCGCCCCTAAAAGAACTCCGTGCCGTCTGCAACGCTGTGCGTCGTCTGCTACGGAACAAGATTGGCAACACCGGGCGAGTGATTGTAAAGCAGTCACTGGTTTCATAGCATAAGATTCGTATGCGCTTTTTGTGTGTTTGCACAAGCTTTTTTTTTGTGTGTAAGGTTATCGGTTGTGAACCTGCAATCTCGCGAGTTCGCGGACGTTGGCACCCGGCATTCTGTGCTAGAGTTATTCAATTATACGATTTCTGAAGCTGCGTTCCGAAATCTGGACACGCAGTTAACCCAATTTTTCTTGAGTTAGCTGACGATCATGCCACATGGTCAGTGGCAACACAAACCACAAATAATGCTTTTATTAGGGGGCGTGGGGATCAACAGGTCGTGCGACAATCTGCTCACTCCTCACAAGAGGGCCAATGTTGTGTTTGGATTTCGATACATGGAGCCTATGGAGAGTTTCGCGACTCATATGATTGAACAACTCTGTTCTGTGCAAGTTCACTTAGGCACAAATAAAACACCACGAAACGAATACGCACGATATTTGTTTGCATCCGTATGTCACCGCGGGATTCTGTTTCCAGATGAAGCGCAGCGTCACCGTTGTTCGCTGCAATGTCCCTTTGCCCGCTCATGACTCAGAACAAGCACACATGCCACAAATTGTCTATGGTAAGCTCACAATAACATTTCCGACATGACAGACCACCATACATAATTCAAATTCACTCTGACAAAAGGAGGCGCACACAGCCAACTGTATTTCCCAGTTTGAAGCGAACGCGGCTATGTTATGCATATTCTACGTCAGCTGGGTCCGCGGCTAGAGTGCAGTCCGGTGCATAACGTCACCTAAAGTGTGCGTGTATTGGTGGAGGCTCTATTGATGAAGGCTCGAGGAAAATGCCGCTGCCTTCTTATGTTGTACCCGACTATAGTTCCGATTTTCTTCTAAAAATATCCCACCTGGTCAGTACTGTCAGTGTGTTATGGAAATTCAGTAATTCTAGCAATAGCGAGTGAGAGATGAAAGGGAAGGCAGTCAGATATTAGGAAGTTATTCAGATATTAGCATCCTGTTAGCAAATTACACAGTCTGCCCCCTGTGAAAAACATGGGTATTTTCACTCTTTACATTACAGGCTGTGGAACGGTCAAGTTCCAGACCGCTGCAAGCCACTATACCCTGACTATGAACAATGGAGATGCTATTTTGGCTACAGAATATACCCGACTTTGAAAGGTTAGTGTTTATTTTCTGTATCAATACTCATAGGATAGCCTAAGTGGTTTATGAGCTAGCAATAAATGTGGTCATTAAGGTGTATACCTAAGCATCCAAATATCTCGTCTTTCAAAATGCCAGTCAAGAAACTCGAGCTTCAAGCTCCTCAGACGTTGATACGAAAACCCTATCCCATTCCCAGAACACAGCCTGATTGCTATGAAGTACAGTTACGCGAACATTCGTTAATATTCTGGCGTAATGTATGTAGCAAAAACGTAAACGTCTACTGAATGAACCGAAAAAAAAAAAAAACGTGTGATACACGATACGGTGAAAGAGACGAAAAAAGCGCTGGCTTAAAGATAAAGTTTTATTCCACACATAGGAGCATGTATATAGCACACGCAACATGAAAGGAGATAAAGGAGGGCAGTGACATAAACTTTTGGTTCATTAAATCTTCGTATGCATTTAAAAGACTCCGATGAAACGTTCGTCTACTTGACAAATATCCAACTTCTCTGGTGAGGCGCGCTAACAAAGGTGCACTCACGCACACATCATCTTTCTCATCAATGCAAAACACCTCCTAAATGTCACGGGCTCGATCATCAGGGTATCATCAAAGTATCTTGCATTGATCAATCACAGCATGCAAGATACTTTGATGATACAGTGATCAACGAGCACGTGAGGGTTTTTATGACAGGGTACAATATACTGTCACGGGATAATAAGGCGAATGAAGAGAGAAGACTGGATGTTGAGAATAAACTGTTTCTTTGTCCGAAAATGTGGCTATGTAAAAGGAAAGAGAAACTACAGCAAGAAACTGGCACTGATACTGGCAAACGGAGCGTCGTTCGTCGATCAACTGATGAGCGATGAAGCGCGCCAGGATTTAGAGATGTGCCGGTGAATGTTTCAGCACCATTGCTCGCGGCCACGAAGGTTTCTGAATAATCTGTAATGTTTGCGTTTCGCACGTAATCTGAAGAAAATGGTTTAGTACAAAGCTTCTCGAACACTGGAGGCATAGGTTGCAGTGAGAACTACTTACAGTGTAGAGGAGCGATACAGTAGTTCGGGCTCGTCTTGTGTATACTTGTGCGTTCGTTTCATTCGTCTTTCTGTTTAAACTGCACACTTTCAATGACAAGCTGTGAGAGTTGTTAGTCCACGGTCATTCTACGTATGCTCATTTCGTGGATATTTTCTGCTTGGAATGTGCACTGCAAGTTTCGAGCTGCTTGCCTTTCTTCGCCTGACATTGCAGTTTATTGCTGTAGAAACAAATTGCAGTATGATGAAACAATTGACAATAAATTCTTAACTAGATCGATGAAGGCAAGTTTAACTTTTATGGTACAGCTATTTATACAAATATGGATCAGTCACGTTGTTTTAGTATACTTATTATGCTGGAAACATTATTGTCACATAGTGCTTAGTTTTGACAACCATGATTAAGTGACACACCTATGTTCCCTCCTTCTACCCTGTCAATGCAAAGACCTTTAACCCCTGTTGTTGTTTTTTTACCTCGTGTATGTAACATTGTGAACTGGCAACCTGTAACTTGGCATGCCCTGCTGAGTGATAGGTAAATTGGGCCAGTTTCAGCTACTGTGAAAGGTCACTTAGCACTAAAAAAAATTATTGTTGGGCTAGTTTGTGTTTGTCTGAACTAAATAGCTTCTTGCCAAACTCACAGCCACACTGTGTTGCTCTTCTGTGTGATCGTGATTTTGCCCCGAACTTGACTTTTTGATTCAGTCACTTAGCACATTCCGTAGCAGTCATAAGGAATGCATACGAAAATCGCTTCGCTCTCGCATGAGCAAAGCACGCTGTTCTTTTGCAGCATTATGCACCCACACATCACATACTATATTTCAAAAAAATGTGGAAGGGTTCTTATTTTAAAATGTGAATGCATTTCTTAGTCAGGCTATGCAGGCGTCCATCCGGATCCGTCCACCGCCTTTTCTCATAGCAACAGCTGCGGGCACGTGCGCCCCTAGCAACCAGAGCCCCCACCTCCTTGTCATGCTTAAGCTTCGGCAGCTGTCAGAAACATGCACGAGCGCGTGCGCTTATCCTCGACCCTAGCAACTGGAGACCCAACCTCCTTGATTTTATCATGGCTTGTCACCGTCTTGATGCAGTGCAGTTGAAACACGTTTGTAGCATTTGTGCTGCGAGCCTCTGTGCAGCATTCTTTTAACCGTGCATGCTAGCTACTAGAGGTAGAAACTCATACTGCATTTCACAAGGCACCAAAATGCTACGTGTGATGATCTTTGCTATTGGTGGCACGGTTTAATAAAAAAAGAAAGCATTATTCGTGAAATGCTGGGTTTTGACGTCTGAAACATCTTTATGGGCACTACGCAATGCATTCACATTTCCTTATGATTCCCAGGTGAGGGCATTTTTTTTGTGCAGAGAATTTAGATATAGCTAAGTAGATTCCTTAATTCAAAGACCACTGTCAGACATACGCTTTGCAGATTGAGGCCACTAGCGTAACTATATAAGCCTAATGCATGACGGAGACTTCGTGGTATCTGTCCGAAAACACAGTCGCTGCTGAAGTGGGAAAAAATAAACGAACGCCTGGGGTTAGTACGAGCCACAATTAAACCATTGTTTTACAAAGCTTTTCTTGCAATGCAGATGTTATATCTTTTTCTTTTTGTATCCCTTTTGCAGCACCAACATTTGTATTTCAGTGGGTGTTCGACGAAGCGCAGATGGTTGTCAACAATGTCGCGGCCCCTTCAAGCAAGGCCCATTGGGACTACATTCACGCCCTGGGCAGCAAGCTTCGAAGTACACTCATGAATGTCACGTAAGCTGCATACATTTACACTTCAACATTGTAAGCGAGTTCATACAAGTTTAACACTAACTGATGTATTGTGTAAATCACAACCCAATGAGATATTTCTTTTTGATTATTCCACTCGATTCTGTCTTCAGGCGAAAATGTGAGGAATTTTGGAACAGTCATAACTTGTTTCTTCCACTTAAAACAAGAAATATAGTATTGCAGTAAAAGAATGAACAATGATTGCGATAATATGGAGACGTATAGCAGATATGGCCATAAATCTTTCACTGCAAACTAATCACACATATCGTATTTACCTGTATTTGAATTATTAGAAAGTGGTGAGAGTATGCCAGTCAATAATCAAAAATTTAAATGAACTCTTTTCTCATTCGCAATTATTATCACCTCGAATCTAGCATTTTTACGTGGTTGGCCTTCAAATGCATCACCCAAAAACTTCTTTCAATCATTTATTATACGATCATATTCTCTGCATGTAACCACCTTGCTGATGGCATCATATCGATTCATGATGATCAGCTGTTTAAAGCAGTTTCAGGTAATGTTTCATAAACGAACTCCCCTTCGTTTCTTTTATTTTTAACTTACTTGTGCAACACGAGTGCATGTAGTTACCCAGGACTAGATTTTTGTGTAACTTTAGTGCAACTTTTCTTTGTTTATCACTTCTCTGGGAACATGTTGTCTGGGTTTGTTAATATAGCTAAAACTGTCTCCGTGAAGTGTAACATCCTGTGCCTTCTTACTGAAAGGTTCTATCTGCTTTTTTTTTCTTGCTTTTCTGCCGTTTATTGCAACGACTCTCTTTTTTGACGTCTTTGGTACTATTAGTGTAAATAAATAAGTAACTGCAATCCAGAGTGGCAGGACACCGAAATTATGATGATTGACGTTATTGAACTGGCCAGTTCATGCAGCCTATTAGACAATGGCTATCTAACTTTGTTTTATATAACGTACTTCACTCATGTCAGCAAGTTTCACTCATTGGTTGGGTGCAGTTGGCACATTAATTTTTGAAAATTCATCACAAACCGGACACACCACATTAAAGACAGTGTAAGTGTTTGTCTCATTTTTCAATGTGGTAAGTTCCTGGTTATGCTGAATGTCCTCCTTAAAATCTATTTCTAACATTGAACTAGAATTTCTTATGTCATTTCGATTCATGTCTCATCATTCTAGGCTACTATACTTTGCAACGGGTCCCAAATTCAGTTATTCTACTTTATCTTTCAGGGCTCTTTTTGCACCGTCTTGCATTTCCCATGAAATTCTCACAAAAAGGTAAGACTCAATTGGTGAGAAGGCATCTGCTTTTATAAACGTTTGCATAATTGTAGACATAAAGAAAGATATCAAAAAGCTGATAACAAAAATTAGCATTCTATCTATAACAATTCCACAAATTTATATAAAAGGATGATGTAATGAGGGACCCCAGATTACTTTTCAACATTATGGTTTTTTTATAAAACGACTAAACTTCAGTTACACGGGTGCCTTTGTGCGTTTTGTCCACGTCCAAACTCGGTGTCCGTGGCCGTGTATTGCATTCGTGCCCTTGAGCTTAGCAGTGCGATTCCTAAGCGTGACTAAATAATACTGTGAGGCCTGCGAACTCTATCTCAGTTTTAGCCTTTCGCAACCCAAAACTGAATAGCGTGAGCTCATGTTTTCTGAAACAGCATGCTTCACATGCAACACTTTAATGATGAACTAAGTGTTGGTGCTAAGTATACTTGAATGCATAAACTTACTGCTGGTGCAAATATGCTCATTGTGTTGCCAATACTATAAACAGTGACAGCCTAAGAATAAATATAGGCTCCACCCACGGGACCTGATTACCTTTATTTTCAATGCCTCCGCGCTACAAAGGAACTATTTCCGAAACAGTGGCCATAATTTTCATGCATGCAATCATTACCTTACAATAATTAATTGGTGTTGAAATACAGAATCCGAAGCTCGATAAATAAACGTGAAAAGGTGCATACTTCCACGTAAGCTTAGTAATATATCTGTTGTTTAAATCACACCTCCCCTCTGCACTCATCTCAGAGTCCACGAAGAAGCAACGCACATCTTTCGAAGGTGATGTTTCTGCGTGGTACCTAAGGTTGTTCCTAAGAAAGAGTGCCACATTTATTGTAATGTTCAAAATTAGAAATTTGTTCTTTCATGGTTTCACGGAATGAAACAGGGACAACAATCACATTTCATTAGGTTGTTTGCAATTTTTTTTACGAAACTTTCGCTGCCAGGTTCTTTCACTGCCTTCTCTAACAATGGCAACAATGACTCAAAGCGACGAATGGTCAAGCGATTTCAGATTGACTTCGTGAATTTTGATTTTTGTGCTGCCTTGAATATTGAATGTGGGTGTCGTGTCCTCGTGCTTTTCGTCGTGTTTCAAGTAAACACCAATGTTTCATTCGACGTCTGTTTCATTAGGATGAAAGTATGTAGCAGACATTGTGCTTAACAGTGGGAATCTTTGCATACATTGTCCTTATGTTAATGGCCAAGGCGATGTACGCGGCTAAAGTGGCGGCGACTAAAAGCTCTAGGTGTTTTTTTTTTCTTTGACAAATTGCACTCTATATTGTTGCCATCACCCTGTTAGCCCTTGTTTCTCTGCTTTTTCAAATAAGGGCCCAGTTTTACTGCAACATGGGCCACTACCTTCAATAAATGTGTCTGTGCCAAGGTGTGTCGATGCAGGAAGTGGGGGTTTTTGCTCTTCGGGGACTGTGAAGGAATATTGTGGCAGACTTTGCTTTCACAGGAGAGAGCAATGCATCCGTCTTTTCTTTCATGGTACTGTAATTTAATATAAACCAGCTATCTCTATGCGTAATACATGCACGCAATACAGGCAAAATAAAAAAATACAAAAAGTAAGACTTCCTAATATATTATGGTCAAGGATGATACAGTGTCCTAAAAACGAAATGTTTCTCTTTTTTTTCACTGAACAATAGTTTTAGCAGCGTCGTTACAGTGACGATCAGTGCTTGATCGTGATCACTGCATCCATAACGATCAATGCAGCGATATTACATAGCTCGCGTCATTTTCCTGTTTGAAGAACTTTGCATGGCATTTTTCATGCAAGGTGTTCGTACTTAGAGCGTGAGACAAGCGCTTACGCAATCAACATTTCAATATGGCACGTAATTATCAGCCAGTGGCAATAAACTTCGTCAAAATGACACAGCTGTGCCAATTGGCCTGCGTCAAAATAATTACACACACCCACAATGACTGCAATTCGCTTTTTAATGCACACACCAGTGAACATTTTTCCCACCTGGTTTGTTTACTTTACTGTTTGATGCTGTCAGGTCCTGTTGGTTGTTTTTTTCTCACACCTCGCCCAGAATTCCAACACTCATGTTGGTGCACAACACAGCACATATTGCAAACGATCACCAAGATTCTCACGTTGTGACACCCAAGTAACACACTCATGCACGCACATGCGGCAGCGCTGATGCCACACCTTTTGCGGGCGGTAAATTACAGATGCGCACATTCCACAGAACACATACGCGTACATTCAGAATTCACTTTCAGCTTACTGCGCCTGAATGACCACGACGATAATCGTCGAGAGTGGTCATCCTAGCGACGCAGAGCATAGACACCGTGTTGCTGCTTCACGCTGCAGAACCGATGGAACGCGGTGAAGCTCTGCCGCTTCGGTGCACTTGAAACGCTGCAAAATCATAAACGCCAACATGAAATGATGCCCGACGACGATGATGCTGAGGGCGAGTGGATGAAATAGCTTCTTCTCGACAAAGAAAACACCCCTGATAACCGAATGGACGCCCGATAGTGTCGTTTCAGTGGCCCATCACCTCTCGTCGCGAACGGCGCCATGATGAATTTGTCATTGGCTCATCGTGACTCTTACGTCATAGTAATGAGCGGCCGCACTTGGTCGTGCATAGTTGACATACAAATGTACAGTGGTGCACTTTACCTTTTATTTTTAGCTTGTCACCGACAATAGTGTTTTGTGAGAGTTCTGCAATCTTCCTGTCGCACCAATGAGGGTATGCTTGTCATGACGCGATTGAGATAAAATCACACTGAAATGTGCAGTCAGGGACACCCACAGTATCACAGTGCCGAATTCGCATTGAAATGTCCCCACTCCATTCATTGAAATGTAAGTGTTACTGTTTACGATGTAGAGCTTACTTTGTCTATCAGCTAAGTAGGTGGAGAAATTACTCTGTTTATTTGAGCGGTAATATGACTCTTTTTTCTCGGTCACTTCGGGTCTTGAGGTTTTTGCACTGAAGATGAATAGAATTAGTCAGTCGTAACCATTGAAAGAAGTCGGTAAGGCCAGTAATAACTATCATTCAGAGAGCAGCCACCAACGCACCATCAGGTCGTCTCTAAAACTCGTTGCCCGTAGATGGTAGCGGTAAGTAAGCAGAGGAACCAATGATTCGCCGTGCTGTTGTATACCCTAACGCCAACAATGCTAACGTGAGCAACATGGGTGTAGGATACAAGAATATTAGCAAAACGAAACACAAAAGTGGGATGCAATCATACATGTGCGCACAAGGGGGAGGTCAGGGCTTATTTAACAATTTCAGTCGCAAGAATGTACAAATGGAAAAAAAAGCTTTTGCGAAACTGCATTATTCGGTTCACTGTCTATAGAAAACAAACTCAGAAAAATTATGGATCTGAAAAATTTAACGGTTGTCTCAAAATGCTATGCTACCCATTCGCGTACTCCTGATTTTTGAAGTCTGTAAGATTAGGTGCAACAATCGTAGCAGGCCAAAATGTCTTTCAATGTGATCTACAGGACGTCCGAAGTTAAACGAATGTACTATAAAAGTTGTCGTCAATGCTACAATTAAGAAATAAAGATTTCACTTAACACGAGGATGCAGCCGAGCCCTCATGCAGTACTGAGTCATTTTCATTCACTCGTTTTGCAAATGTGACTATACACACGGAACCACTACTCAGTGCTTCATGAAAGTAACTCATCCTTATTGTGCCAAGACAAACTTGGACATGCGAATATTAAATTGCGATGATATGTGGCCTTTAAAACAACGGTACCCAATCGGGTACCTAGGGACCAAGGAGGTTAACCATTTGAAAGAAGGCGTCAATAGTGCACCGTGACTTTGCTCAGTTGGACATTTTACTTAATTTCTTAATCTTTATGGTTATCACGACACATATTTTTTTACCGTAATGCAGACCGAGAACACCAGGTGTTGTTTCAAATATTTACTTCCCGACATTACCACAGAAAAGCCAGAACTCAATGCCAGCACTAGTACCAGCGCAAGTAGCAGTGCAAGTACCACAATGCCAGCGCAGCCAGCCCAAGTATCACAACATAGTTTCATTTTCTGCTTTCAACCGTGTGGCTGCTAGCTGATCTTTGGCCCTTTTTTCTTTTTTGGCATGACGAAGGAGAGGTTGATGCAGTGAGACAATTTGCCCCCCGCCCCCACCCCGCTCTCCAATTTCCCAGTAAAGCAACCTCTGAACGCGTGCGCATGTAATAGTAACATTTTTGTTCTACATTGTGTATGCATTCGTTTACAGACTGTACACCTTTGTGAAGACCTCTGCATGTGCTGCCTTCTGTGGTCCCTTAGGTCCTCTGAAGCTGTTTTCACAGTTTTTTCTGGGGTACCTCGGACGAGTGGGTTGAAAATAATGTAGATTCTGCATTCTGGATAACCGTGACATGTTTGAGAGACGCGCTGTAGCGAAGGACTCAATTATAAATTGGACTACATGGTATTTTATAAAAAGCACTTAGCTCTCTTTACATTGGTGTTTCTGTAATTCAACCAGGGGGCGGAAGCTCACTGTACCTCCCATGTAAGCGCTCGCATATTGATATGCAGTGGCAGGACTGCTTTTACCACTCGTGGCTGTCGGGCATCCAACAAGAAATAAATAACGAACACAAAACTTCTTCCATGACGTCACCGATGTGGCCACCCAATAGACAGAAGGCACAAAAAAAAAAAACCGAGAGGAGTAGAATTGACGTGGAGACTCTCTTTTTCTTCTTCGCATGCCAGCGAAATGTGTTTCTGCCTTCTTTCAGGTCTGCTGGCAGCTTGGGTGATGCGGTCATTCGTAAAACATTCTTACCTACTTCTTTTTAGTTTGATCATGGCTTCTGAAGCGGTGAAAGTTAGGCTCAACGATTTCTCGGTAAGACGAAACTTGATCGACAAAAATAAGATTATCTTTTATGGCAGTTTTGTATAAAAAAAACAAGGACATGCATGTATAATGAAAGTACAGTCTACAAGAGCTGCTTTTATTTACAACTGACATATGAGCATAGTCAGCAAACATTGAACCCCGAATATCTGAAATAATGCAAATATTATCAGAAATCACAAGTAAGACACATCGTAGTTACTCAATCACGCTTGTTATGACGGCACACGCAGTCATCTTACAGAACATTAGTAGCAAACGAGACTGAAGGTCAGAGGCACAGAGAGGCTTGAAGCGATCACAATTTTTTCAACAAAGAACGTCGCTGGAAGCAGTGTTTTAGCAAGTTGACAAGTCTATCATCTGTGCAGAAGCGTTGGCTTGACGAAGAAAAGACCACTTCTCAAAACGTTGGCTCCAGAAACAATGCCTGTAATGATTTTTAGAAGCAATTAGTTTACCAGATGCATTTGACTGACAGTACTAGCAGAAAAAACTCACAATATTTCAAACCATGGGTACATGAATTTCATGAACAGGGAATAGCCTATATTTATTTCACGTCATTTGAACTACATCCCAAAAGTAAAGAAAAAAAAGCAAGAATTATGTAGCTGAGCCAACACGAATTGAAGCCTTCTATTAAATGCATTTAGCCTACAGCATCTTCACTGACGTCTTGACCAATGAGTCTAGCGCTAGTGCACATATGTCAGTCCAGTTAGGCTCTGAGAAATGGGTTTACTCATGTACTCGTGCAAAATCAATACCTGCTTGAACAATGGGTACAAGTACATGTGCTCATCCTTCGCCTTGAGCAAATGTGAAAAAGCTTCATAGAACTGCCGTTCCGCGGGTCAACACACCCCAGAGCCACAAAAAACATATGTTGCCCGATTTAGTCACTCATGTAAAATGCATGAGTCACTTGCTCGGGGTAAGTCTCTGTGGTTTTTGTTTTATACCTGCCACAGTTTCTTTTTATCTTTCTCATAGTTGGCATGCCAACCGAGCGAAATAACTTGTAATATCACTGAGCGAGTGGCAAGTAGGAGTGAAGGCAAGTGTTGTGAATTCAAGTCAACCACTTGTGCTTCACCTGATAGAAAATTCACAAAATAAAAAAAATAGGAAAAGACGTATAAGCAAAAAAAAGTTCTTCACAGTGGTGTCACATTCCTATATTTGTCAAATGTTGTGAAAACCAACAAATGCGAACATCCCCATCAACATTACTCCATTCAACCAGATGTTAGGATGCCCGGCAACTCTATGAGCGTGCATGTTCTTTGAAACTGAAACTGGCGCTCAGTTTCCAGAGCCTAATCAATACCTTCTAAATGTGACCACTGTAAAAGCAAATTAAACATGTGCGCTCAAAAGGTTGATATGGCAAAACATTTTAGAAGGCTTCGGCACTACAAAAATTGAACCTCGTCAAATGAAGCACTGGTAAAGAAAATTTATCACACTGCAAGATTTTTTTACTGCTTTTTGAGAACAAGACCCTCGGAAACTTGCCGAAGCATGCATTCTATATAGACACTAAAAATGGCAATCTAAAATGTTCTTTTTTTTTTCGGGAGGCACTCACTAGTTCTTCTGTTTTCTTAAATACTAATTTTTTCAGGAACTGGCAGGCGATAGAAATCTGCGGAATTTCTTTGCCTCAGGCCCTACGCTGCTGGGAACTCCAGAAACACGAACATAATCACCACGAGCACCACTCAAACCATGACCTCTTCGACCAACTCCCGGCTAAGAAAAATGAGACGAGGTGAGTGAGTGCATTACTCTTCGATGCAAGTATTTTTCATTCGCAAAGAAAAGTACCGTGACGTGGACCTGAAATATAACCTTGCATTTGGTATATCTAAGCATGAGTATTAATAACATTTTTCATTAGGGTTAAACATTTCAAAACTCCTATATGATTATGAGAAATGCCATAGTGGGAGGTTCCGGTACATTGACCTCCTGGGTATCTTTAACATGCACCCAAATCTAAGTGCACCAGATTCACTCATTTTCACCTCCATCTAAAATGCGGCCGCTGCAGCCGAAATTGTACCTGGGACTTGCAGATGATCAGGAAAGCACCATAGCGACTAAACCACTATGAACAGATATTTCAAAATAAGTGAGCTTATGGATACATTAAGACGAAGTTGATGAAATTTCAGTGTGCAATAAATGTCAACTCTAGGCTTCTAGCAAAGTATACGCGACCACAATGAGCCTCGTGTTTGACTTTCAGGGGCCAAGCTTCTCTTAGTCTAAGCTTGTCTTGCGTGAGGTGTAACTGGCAGTATCAGACAGATAAACACGGACAGACATCAGATAGACAAACGGACAGAAAAACATATCAACAGACAGACAGATGGACGGGCGGATGTTGGACATATAGATGGAAGCATGGGCGGAGGCACAGATGGATGGATGGGTAAATGGATGAAAGACGAACAAACAGACAGACAGAGACACACGGATGGATGGATGGACAGACAGATGGCCTCTTCGCCCCACCCATCATCATTCACTTCGTGGATATGCTGTGACTTTTTTGTGTAACACCATCGTGGCATAATTTGTCACAGAGATTAATGGCTAGGAAATTAATAATGCTGAATTTCGGCAGCTTAGAAGTAAACTTATGGAAATTATTCGTTTTTGTTTCTTTTTTAGACATTACATCTGTATAATGAGTGACGTGTGCAACAATAATATTCCAGTTGGCCGATTCCAACATTTTCACACTATTAACGAAATGAGTAAAAATGTATCGTTTTATTACACATTGATATATCTCAAGGAATTTCTGATTTGTTAGACACAAAATGAAGATGCGCATACTGTTATTTCGACGGTGAAGTCAGCAACTTCGCGAGTCACTTTTAATGAATGTGGCGGCTTTCGGGTCACTGCATCCAATCACTTTTGCCAACGTTAATTGTGGCTTTGGTGTCGTGATTCCCCATGCTGAAAACCACCGCTGTTATTTGGGTAGTGTAGCCAGCGACACTTCGACTAGGCGTCCGGCCCAGAGCATTCATCCCGACCAGTTAAAGAGAGAAAAAAACTAATTTGTATAGAGTATTTCATAGCACTTAAATTGCGCGATTGAAATGACCAGACAAGAACAGCTCTTACTTGCTACGGCGCTCTTGGGTGCTCGGGCTTAATTTGTGAGCTTGGGGACCACCTCCACAATCTCTTTCCCATGTGGGTGCCACCAGTTCACCAATCCTTCAGGACTGGCCGGAGCATAAAGATGAGCATGCCAGTGCCTTTAAAGGTCAATGGCCGGACCATGATGGCTTGTTTGAAGATGTGCCAGGATGAACACGTTTGCGGTGAAGACATCTTATTGACGATGCACTGGGGCTAGAGAGTCCAAAATCAAGATGGCAGCCGACAGAAGGAAAGACGTAGTGGGATAATCAGGAGAAACAGTGGAGGTGCCTGTCTGAGGCACTTCCGCTGGTCACGCCGATTTTTCCACTAGGACAAGAAAGGGCACACAGCTGACATATGCACGGCGACAGCAAGTCGACACCACCGGTGGGTCATTGTTGGTGGTCCCATGTGCCCTGCTCTGAATGGTTGCTTTCAGCTGCAGAAGAGGGCTTGGATAATGACAATTCTTGTGAGTAGAAGCCGGCAAGGTGAAAACTTTCATGATTATCTGTATTGACAATGACTGCACGGCATTTGTGGGAGGCACAACAGCACTCCAGCCGTCAGATGATACAGTGGGAGGCTGAGTTCTTCCATGCAGCTCGGCGGGATTGATGTCCGCGACTTTTTGGCAAGGCCCGTGGCCTCTATAGAAGCCTTGTCAAGCTGGAACACTTCTCTAAGGGCTGACCTCCATGCACGGCTTCTGTGACAGTGAGTGACAAGCCCCAAGAAACAATCTTTGTCCGCCACACACAATGCGACGAACGTCACGCGCCCCCCACTCACCTCGCCAGACCTCAGATTTTACAAAGCAGTACTGCCGGTATCTCAATGGCCTAAGCCCAAAGAAACATTGTGTACACTAATCTGGACAAGTGTCCAGTAACTCTTTTTAAACGTAATTATATTTGGAATCTAACTGTAGAGCTTTTGACAACAAGGCAGTCAGTGAGAAATTTTTCTACGCCCTTCACTGTAACACAACTGCATAAAAAATACTCTACACTAACACTATGTAAAATTTAAAAAAGAATCAAACAAAACAAAAAAATTGTGACCTCATTTCGCACCTCCTTTCGATTCAGAACGCCCGAATTAAAGGTCGTAGGTGCGCGTGCAAAAACCATTCATCAGAATATTGGCCAGCTGTGGGTAATTCAGAAGGTAATTTTGGTAATGCTCGATAAGATATAAATTCACTCACATCACTGTTACACGCACTGTATGGCTCATAGCTTCGACTAAAAATTTTTCTCTGCAAGAAAACTGCGAAACTTAAATCGCTGATGTCTAACCAACAAAAAACAAGGGGACTGTAATCAAATAACACGTGCTGTTGTTTATCAATTCTTCCTTTAAATTATGCCCGATGGGCTCCTGGTTTCGACTACTTTTCGGCTCACCAGAGGTAGCAAAGAGCGCAAGCTTTCACCCGCGTTATGCTGTCACTTACTTGATATTGTCACGTGCTAGAAAAGGTCTTCAACTAGGAAGAAGTGAGCCGAAGGGGGGATGCACCGAAAACTGGCAAGATGGCTGCTTCAATATTAAACAACTAGCCAGAGCACGCGGTGCTCCAGAACATCGTCTTCCATTCTCGTGGGCAGCGCTCACCGTAACTAGTGGCCAAGTGCCATTATTCCCCCTCTGAGAAAAAAAAAGGCATCACTTCGATGCTCGAACAGTACAAAGGCAAAGTCAGCGCGAACCAACATAAAATACGCCCATACACAAAAACAGCAATATGGTTCATGCGCAGTCGCACTACCGCGTGAAGTACGGCTTCAGGCCCACCACGTGGACAATCTCTTAGGAGTGCTTTCGCCGTCGTGGCGAGAAGGCACCATCAGGGACCACCTCGTAGTTGACATCGCTCACGCGTCGCAAGACTTTGTATGGTTTGAAGTAGCGACTGAGCAGTTTTTCTGACAATCCCTGGCATCGGACTGGAGTCCACACCCAAACTTGATCGCCTAGATGGTATTCAACTTGTCGGTGGCGAGCGTTGTAGCGGCATGCGTCTGTACTCTGCTGGTGCGTAATGTGTAGGCGTGCTAACTGGCGTGCTTCTTCGGCGTACTGAGTAAGCTGCACAGCATCAGGAGTAATCAAAGCACCGCAATTGTGTAGAAGCATCGCATCCAGCATGGTCTGGACCTCCCGTCCATAGACAAGATGGAAAGGCATGAATCGCGTAGTTTCCTGGACGGCAGCATTGTACGCAAATGTGACGTACGTTAGCACCCGGTCCCAGGTCTTATGCTGGACATCTATGTACATAGCTAACGTGTCAGCGATGGTCTTGTTGAGTCGCTCTGTCAAGCCGTTGCTCTGCGGATGATATGCCGTGGTCTTGCGATGGCTCGTGTAGCTGAGCTTGAATACGTCATGAATGAGCTGGGCCGTGAATGCTGTTCTTCTGTCTGTGATTATGCACGACAGGGCGCCATGTCGAAGAACGATCTGGTTCATAAAGAATTGGGCGACGTCGGAAGCAGTAGCGCGTTGTAGTGCCTTTGTTTCGGCGTACTTTGTCAAATAGTCGGTGGCTACTACGATCCATTTGTTGCTGGCAGATGATAGCGGAAAGGGCCCCAGTAAATCTATTCCTATTTGATTAAATGGCACTCTGGGTGGTTCTATTGGTTGAAGAAGCTTTGCGGGCTTTAGTGGCAGGGATTTGCGGCATTGACATTCCCAGCAGCTTTTCACGTATCGTTTAACTGATGCAGAAAGCTTAGGCCAGTAGTATGCTTGGCGCACCCGAGCGAGAGTTCGAGAGGAACCTAAGTGGATAGATGTGGGCTCATCGTGGCAGGCAAAAAGAATGTCGTCACGCATGTCAGTTGGCATGACTTGAAGATAGGTTCTCTCATTGCTGTTGGAGTTTTTCTTATAGAGGACCCCATCTCGCCGACAGAACGACCACAGACTTCGAGAAATACATCGAGGTATGGACGAGTTGCGTCCTTCAAGGTTTTTGATAACGGCGCGAATTTCATCGTCCGCACACTGTTGCGTAATCAGATCTGTTGTAGTAAGGGCCCCAAGGAAACCATCGTCTTCCTCAATGTCGTGGCCACAAACTTTGACAGGTGCACGGTATAATGAATCAGCACCTTCGTGCTTGCGGCCCGATTTGTAAGCGATCGTGAAATCGTATTCCTGCTAACGAAGACTCTATTGTGCCAGTGGCCCACACGGGTCCCGTAGGTTGGCTAACTGGCACAACGAATGATGGTCGGTCACTACCTTGAAGTCGCGTCCGTAAAGGTAAGCCCTAAATATCATCGTGGCCCATACAACAGCGAGGCACTCTTTCTCTGACGTGGAGTAGTTGACCTCGGTGCTGGAAAGAGTGCGGCTAGCATCCGCTATCACTCGCTCTGTGCCCTCTTGTTGTACGAGGACAGCACCAAGACCCACACGTTGCTGGCGTCAGTATGAATTTCAGTATCAGCATCTTGGTCAAAACAAGTGAGGACTGGTGGTGTCTGCAAATGCTCCCGTAGTTCAGAGAAAGCTGCGTCCTGTTTTTCCTCCCAGACGAATGAAACATCTTCACGAGTGAGTCGAGGGAGTGGTTCAGCAATCCTA